TGTCGTGTGTATTTAGCCTTATGGAATCCCAAATGAGTACCAAACACCAGGCTCTATCCCCTTCCCTAACAGTACTGTGTCTTCCCTTAATCCATCCTAGCATTTCACTAAAATACTCAGCTGTCCTACGGAAATAATTTGGGGATTACAAATTAAACCATTACACACACACACACACACACTCTCTCTCTCTCTCTCTCTCTCTCTCTATATATATATATATACACACTGTAGAATTACAGAGTACTTTCACACAACATATATTATTTCACTTGCTTTAATACAATGATTTTATTTTATTTGACATTTATGACAACTTGGAGAGACACATAGAATAAGGCAGTTAGCTTATTCTAAGATGCACAAAGTTGAAGTAATTGGCCCAAGGTCATACAACTATTAAGTGGAAGGACAAGACTTGTATATATGATGATGTTCATGATGATGATGTTTAAATATAGTAAGAGCAGCTAATACTTACTAGACAGCTCCTCCATGCTAGGTCTCTTGGGGACCTGCATATAGTGCAATAGATTCTGGGATTCATATATTTAACATTCTTATTTCCGCTATTCCTGAGAAACCTCAAAGATCCATGTCATTTTAATGAAACATGAATTTGGATCACTGGTCAAATTCAGATGAGGAAATAAATCATGTAAAAAATGACAGCACACCTTGCCGAAAGCTAAATTAGGTTATTCTCTATTCCTAAAATATGTGATTACGATGTAAGGGCTCAAAGACAATGCTTATAATTTTTCTATTCTACTTACGTAAGTTTTATGGGGGAATTATATGCCATAGGCCATAACAGTATATGTGACTTAAAAAATACAGAAGTTGTGTTACAATAGCCTCCATAGTCAGGCCTACTTCACCCAGGAGAATGCAGCCTCCAGTATGACAAAGTGTCTATGAAGTCGGGCAGCTCATAAGTGAGGGGTCTAGCCCACTTGACACTGAAGCTTGCTTTTTCTACCAAGTTGAATGCTTTCTCATCATGAGCACAGGGCGCTTATAGGAACTGAAGGTCCATAGTAAAGATATTACATGCAATATGTACCTCATAATCTCCATGTCAGTAATCTCACACTTAAAAGTCAGGTATGTTCTTGAATTCTTATATAATGGTTTAAACTATACTTCCCTTTGGTGGCAGCTATCAAAACTGTCATTAATTATCATTATCCATTTAATGATATTCTTTCTGCTACATTTCGAGCCTCATATGATCATGGACCTTGGTCCTCATTCACGTCTATAGCCCCAGACTCTGACACTACTAAGTAGGCTTCAGTAAAGACCAAGTTAATGTTGGGAGATGTGAGCTGTTCTCTATTAGGAACCTTTATAGAATAATAAAGACAGTTATGAGCTTTGGAGTCAGGTTGACCAGGAAACTCTTACTCACTAGCTGTCTGATCTTAGATATTTAACCTCCCTGAACCTCAGCGTTGTCATTTCCTCATTTATAAAAATGTTGTGAGGACCAGATGACATAATGAATGTAAAGCACTTATTGTTCTAATATAACAAATGACTACACGGCAATATGTGTTAATAGTCATGAGCTAATACTATTACTGGTGGAAAAAACAGCCCACTTTGAGCACAGCCTAGACAGATCAATCTTTTTAATACAGAGAAGAGGGCTATAAGAAAATGATGGACATTAGATGTGGTCTCTCTTTGAGATTTCCTGCATAAACTGCACTAGAGTTCTACAAGTCGGGTTAGCTCCATGTTGCCATCCTTCATCATCTGACCACTGCCAAACTTGCTCCCCTGCACCACTCTGTGCCTAGTTTCACCACCCCTGAGTCTTTCTCTGTTTAACAAGAGAGATTAAACCCTAAGGCACTCTTGGAGATGCTGCTGTTACCTAGGAGGAACTGCACACTACCGGGACACCTCCTGTACTTGTGCTACAAATCAAGTAAAAATGTAGATAATAACAGTAACCACTTACTTTCAACAACATATAATTAAAGACAAATTTTCAAGCAACAATGCATCAGAAGAAAATTCTCTTTTACTGGAAAATTGTTTTAATTACCCAGCTTCATCAAACCTGAGCATGTCTGAAAGATAGAAACGTCTTTCTGAGACCTGGAATAGTTCAGAGAGTAATTATTACCTGAATTTGCAAATAATGTCGAGAATTGAATTCTGATTTCCTGTGAGATTTTAGCAACTTTTCTCTACCTCAGTGAGTTTCCAATCTTTTGAAACAGTTGACATTCCATTTTTAAACAGAAAAAGAAGTGAGAGACACCCAGAATTTTTACAATGTTTCTAAAAAGTTCTAAAAAATAATTATTCAAATGATAATACCTGTGAGTCCACCTTAAAAAGTAAAGCATCTCTTTAATGAAAAAGAGATCTTTCTACCACAGAAAGTTGCAGGCAGTCCACTCTCTTCAGAACCTACTAATTGTTAAAAAGGTTTTTCTACACATCAAGTAAAAAATTGTGCTTTCCTGTTATTTCTACTACATAGTACTAGTTTTTCAGATTGAATATGACAATTATTTAATATTAAATTCCAAGCATTTCCCTAACATAGAGCTTAATGTAAGGTAATTGTGTTATATAAATTTACAAAATGGGGTTTAATAATTTATTTATACAATATATTATCCCTGTTTTGAAACACTATCAGGAGCCTGGTCTCCCTTTATTGCCAGGTTAATAACTCTTCATTGTCTTCCAACATTTCCCACGTAAAATAGCTTGCAGTCATTACCTCCCGAATCATCCTTGTTTGACTCTTCTTGAGTTTGTCGATGTCACTTTTAAACACAGCATGTCTTTAAAAATTAAACTAATTAAGATAAATTAGCTAAATACCATTAATAAATATTTTACATGGAGTTTGATCAAAACATAATACAGTATCACTTCCCTTTTGCTAACTCCTGTAACTGTATTAACATGTCCTATAGGACATTTCCTCTTTTTTGGTTGTCTGCACACTGTCCGTCAACTGAAACTTCCAGATCTCTAACATTTGCTTCTGAAATCACATGCATAACTCTGAGGTGTAGTTTCCAAGCTTGCCAGACATAAATACTGTATTTTGGTATGCATAATGTGCACTCATGTTTTTACATGTATGATACATGAAATTATTATGCCCATTATTATATCCATGGTATGTAGTCATTACACCCATGTATAATGTGAATTCCTAATTTTCCCTCAAAAATTTCAGCCAAAAAAAGTGAGCATTATACACAGCAAAATATGGTATATTTTTGTTTCATGCACTAGTGTTTGTTTCAATGTATTTTTGAAGACTCTGATATTTTATTCCCAAATATTTGATTAACCAGAACAATAGCTATATAGTGTTAAGTTCACAAATGTGAGAACTATTTATCTCGATTAAGCTTCATTTTGTTAGGTTCAGGTTATCTGTTTGGAATCATTATTCTCCTATCCAACTGCTCAGTTTCCTTTTTTATTTTCTGATATCCACATATCTGACGACCATGACTTTGATGTATTTCTCCAAGGTACTTGTGACAGGGCTGAACAAGGCAATGGACAACAAAGCAGCACACCATTGTGGTTGCCGCTGGGATCTCCTTTCAGACTGACACTGATTAGTGAATCAATATACTTTGTCTATAAATGTTCAATCCGCTACAAACTCATTTAATTATACTATCACTCAGTTAATAGTTGTCTATCACTTTTAAAAGATGTTCATAATAGACTATGTCAAATGACTGGCTGAAATTCAGGTCCAATAGGAGCACCCTCCTGATGTGTAACTCTCATCATCCTATCAAAAATAAATCAATTTAGTTTGACATGAATTAACTTAGAGGACCCATATGCCTTGCAGGGATCACTATTCCATTTTTAAATGCTCACAGTCATCTGTTTAATAATACACTCTAGAATTTTTATTGAGAGTTGAGATAAAGATCAGTAGTCTGTGATTTCAAAAAATGTTCTTTTACCTCTCTCTTTTTTTTAAATTTATTGGCTTTAGAGGGAAAGAAAGGAAGGTGGAAGGGAGGGAAAGAGAAACATCAATTTGTGTTCCCATTTATTTATGCATTCATTGGTTGATTGTTGTATGTGCCCTGACTGGGGGGATCACACCCACGACCTTGACATTTGGGGATGATGCTCTAACCAAATGCACTACCCAGCCATGGCCTGTCTACCTCTTTTCTAATAATAACAGCAGCAGGTACTCTTCTGCATCAATCATTATTCTAACATGCATGCCTATAATCAGAATACTCAAAACAATCCTTTTATTTTACAGGAACTATTTCTCATTTTATGGATGACAGTCAAGGTAACTGAGGTGAAGAGAAGTCAATTTAACTCCCCTAAAGTCACACGGCTACCCAGGGGGTTCAGGTCTTGGGCAAATTACTCCCCTGATGTCTGTGATTTTCCCCACCATCGTCAGCAGTGCCCATGATCATATCTGGAGATTCTTTCAGTGTCTCGTCATTGAGCTCGTACTCATTATTTCTCACCCCATCCAAAACACAGTGGATCTAACTTCTATGTTACTTTCCTTATCATACCTTTTTTTAAAAAATTCTGCACTAGTTTTAAAGGAAAAAATACAATGAGGTATTTTAAAAATGAGAACTTTTTTTCTCATTTTTGATAAGAAAGTTGCTTTGAATCTGACTACTAATTTCATGGCTGCTAAAGTGTGGAGGCAACCATTAGTCAGTTAACATCCGTTAGTTAAATAAAAGAACATTAGTTCATCAGAGCAAATAAAGGTATTCCTATTTCTAAATGAAGACACAGTTGTCTTATATAGATATTCACATACATGTACTAGGTAATAATGGACAAGATCTTCAATGAGATTTTTGCAAAAGCAAGCATAGGACACATGTAAATTTTGTTGCAGAAACTCTTATAAAATCTAAACATAACATAAAAGTATAATTGAGAATGATTAGGTGAAATGATCCAAGTAGATTCTCTTCCCAATGTCTTTGATAAAATTAAGATTATATACTCTAACAAGAAGTTGGAGTTAATATTTTACTATTACAGATAGACATAATAATCTTGAAAATCAGACTTGTGGATAGTAGAATACAGTATTATGAAAATTAAGAAGCTTAATGTACATGTGCATTCACATTCAGGAAACTAAACAAACACCTGTCCATATGAAAAAAAAATCGATGGTCAAAGCCAGCATTTTCCTCGAGGTAACACTCTGAAGCCGCAATCAGTTGAGACTCTAACTTTGCATATCATGGGATTCCTTACAAGGTGCTTCTATTAAAAACTGCAGATAGTAGTTACATAATTCCAAAAACCTGTCATAATAGAAATAAGGAAATCAGGAAATCACTTTTATAAAAATTTGAAGTATGTTAAAGTATTTAATTCTCAAAAATCACCTATCAAGGTAGGTATTACCTTTTTGGTAGATGACAGAACTGAGAAACAAATATATTAATTCACTTACACCAGGATAGTGCCAAGTAATAAACAGAGTTGGAATTAAAAACCATGCCTTTGGACTCCAACTGTTTCACCACCATAATATGCTACCTTGTAGCAAATAGCACAACCTTACTTGGAGTATAATTTAGCAGGACCGTTCAAATATAAAAGGTGAGCTGTCTGGTTTGTTGAGTCTAATCCATCTTTAGGTATTTTTCTTATAGAAACCCACAGCTCACCCTGCATGTTCAATGAAGCATTATTTGAAATATTTTAAAAAGACCATCTAAGAGGAGGATGGTTAAATAAATGAAGGCACATAGACACCATAAAAGAATACACAGCAATACCAACATAGAATGGTGTCCATGAGAAAGTGGTTAGTAAAGATGAGGAAGGTGAAGAACGTAAGTACAGACGAAGCATATATTCAAGTGCATGTGGTATACATATACCCTCGCCCATACCCACAACCCCACCTCCACCCCACACACATCCACACTGTATAAAAACATTCAAACAGTGAGCAATTGCTACCCTGGAGAGTGGCAGAAAAATGCTTTTAAAGTATTTTCGTATTTAGAAGCATAAAGTACTTTCATAATCTTTAAACTGTATATTACAGAATTTATGTAATATATGCTTACATTATATAATATTTAATAACTAATATAAAAATCAGTTTCAAAACAAAAATGAACACTCAGACAACAAAAGAAAGGGCGATATACCTTATACTTTAGAGCACCAGGCAGAAAATAAAATATAGGTATATTGAATTTTTTCCAAAGCACACATTACTCATCATTCAATCTGAGTCAGGATAATTCTCCAGAGTTATTCTCACAGATAGTCTGAAATGACACAGCATCCAGATGTATCTGCCAAAAGGAATTAGTTGTAAGATATATCTTGAGATAATTGTAGAAAATGACTTTGTTATATGGAATTATTTGATTCTGACCACTTAAATATTGAAGAATGACAAAGACAATGATGCTTGCTTTGTCAGAGTTAATAGCAGCTCTTTTCTCCTGACTATAGTTAAACATTAGCCTTACCTCCTCAATAATTCATTGATTTAACAAATATTTACCAAGCACACACACAGACCAAAATGAAATACAACAAAACATATTATCGCCATCTCTGGAGACACTTATCCACTCTGGTTTAGTGTAATTGGGGAAGGGAGTTTAGCAAACATCTGATTTACTTAGAAATAGATTTTAAAATAAAAGGAAAGAGACTAAGCCATATACCTGCTTTCATATTTATTCAAAATGCCAATTTAGTTCACATAAAAATGACCTTTGCCTCCCCTATCCCCAGGGGTAGTATTATAATTCAGATTCTGTGCAGTAGTGATGATCATCATGTTTTGTTTTGTTTTGTTTTATTTTGGTCACTGCTTTATTTCCAGTACCAGGCACATGGTAGGCACTTAATAAAAACTTGCCTAATGAATGAAAACAAGATGAAAAAACGACAAGGAAAGAGTGACATACTGAATTTCTTGGTTTTTGTGAACTCATTCCTTCTTTCTGAAAAATACCCTTTTCCACTTTAATTTGAATGGAAGCTGTCATATTCCTGTAGATCCTAAAGAGTTACCTACTAATGACAGGGTGGTAGTATGACAGGGTGCAGCCAATGGGGGCCCCCAGTGGGAATTTGTAATGGGGTCCAGAACTCAGGGTGTCCAGGAAATATTAGGAAAAAATATATATATATAGGGTGTCCTCACTGTCCTCACTCCCACAAGTCTGAGCTGGGGGACTGGAAGCATGGAGTGGGGCCACTCAGAGTTGTTTTGAATAGCAACACCTTTGCAAACAACCTCTAGAATGGTCATTTAACGTATCTATAACTTTTAACTGGTTTCATAGATGTGTTAAGTAACTGTGGCCATGCTTTAAGCCAGGGAGTGACTTCAACCAATGATGTAACTGGGAGGCAACTCCCTCTGGGTACAGCACCTGCATAAAAGCTTGCAGATGATCGGCTCTACACCATGAAGCCATGCCTGGCTGGACTTACTATGGCAGCCCAGTTAAGCTGGAAGAATACGGGAATGCTGGCAGGTGTAACACATTGTGGGAGGAATCAGAAATGGTGCTGCAGAGGAAGACTGGCGCTGGGATTTAAACCCAGGCAGGTGCGACAGCCATGCTGGGGCTTTCTGGGACCACAAGGCTTTGGCAAAAGTTGGGACCATGCAGCTTTAGGGTGCTCCATTTTGCCACATGGCTTAGGAAGGAGAGACTTTGCCTGGAAGAAAGGGGGAGAAAGGATTCTTGCTGGTGGGCCAAGAGAAGGAGCCACATGGATCTGGATTAACTGGAGAACACAGCAGCGACACAGCTGAGGGTGCCAGAATCAATGGCCTGCCTGAACCATGGACTTCTACTTCTTTTCCTGAGATATGGTACCCTGGACTGGGCAAAAGAGAGAAGGAAGGACTGCGTGTTTGGGGGTATTCTAAAGGGCTTTAGTATTTTTAATGAAGGCATTAAGTCATTACTCTAAATCTGTATAATTTCTTAAATAAATAATCCCTTTCCTTTTCATCAATCTCTGGCATTGAGAGATGTCTTTCCCTGGCAGTGAGCAAGGCAAACCTAGCACTGGGTGGGGGGACACCTGGAGCACAAGCTGCAATTCATTCAATAATAGTATATCATTTGCTCTCCTGACCCTGCCGGGTCTGTTCTGTAACAGTGAGATGGCAAGGGGCGGGTACACAAGGCAGGCCAATCATTGATCTTCCCTAGAATACGAATCCCAGTTGCTTTCTGATAATCACCCCACATGAGATGAGGCCCTGAGATTTGCTGGATGCCATGTCCTAGCCACGTGGAAGGAGCTCAGTTCAGAAAATACGGGTTCTGTACAGGGAGAAGCAGAGATCGTCCTGGGCTCTTTCATTCCTTCTCTTCAGGTATCCCTTTTCATTCACCTGTATTGGTTGATGTTTATACTAGTCTTCCAATAAATTCTTCTTCTCACTAAATTGGTTAGACTTGGATTTTAGTCTCTGTTCATGGCTAACTGTTCGTGACCAATGTGTTTCTTATACTAATTATTAAACCCTTTGCTAAAAAAAAAATACAATAAAAAAATAAAACTACATGTTTGGGGGGGAAGCCCTTTGTGGGTTCCTCTCACAGGATTTCTAAGAATTATAAAATAAATGATATTTCTAAGTCTGATGTTAAATTCTGATTCCTTCAGAAGATGAACAGAAGAGTAATCATTGGCAAAATTTACTTTTTCATCACTGGCAAACTAAGTTCTTAATCAAACAAAATTTGGCAATGCCAAGTGTTAGCCCTTTGTCAAATATTCACTTTGCCCCATCCAGAGACAATAGTTAAAAATCAAACAAGTGTATAAAATTAAGAACTCACCAGGCAAAGCTATCTGGTTATAATTCTGTAAAGGTACTAAATAAAGCTATAAAATAATTCTAGCAGTTTAGAGGCCTCTACCTAGAACTCAAGTTTGATAAGAAACACTTTTGAATCCCCAGGCTTCAGAAAGAGGACCAACACTAATATGTGTGAGTATGTCTGTATGAATGAGGCATCTTAGCATTTTAGCAGGAGGACTGGGGAGCCTTCTACAGGCCCAAAGGCTTAGGAGATGTGTCCTTGCCTGTCCCTGATTGGAGTCATGCATGGAAATCCACCATAACTGTTTACACTAAAAACAAAGTAAAAGTATTATCTCAAATAATAAAGATAGCCTTAAAATATCTATATCAAGATTTATGCTAAACATATTCTTGGGGGCAATTACTTTTATATTCTACTTGATATACTACCCACCTTAGTATTAGCCAAGTTTCCCGACCCCCTCTATCTTTCCCACCCTTTGGGTCCTGTTTCTTCAAGTATGTGCTAGAGGAATGAAGGCCATTTTTATCAGGGCACAAAGCAAACAGAACTGGTGTCAATCAGCCAATATTTGTTGATATGAAATACGGGGTGAGTCTCTTTTAAGGAGGCAATGCAGCATTAAAACTTACCGTTGCCAACGAAAGGTTCATTATGAAATCAGATAGTCCCTATTGCTTTCTAGCCTTCCTCACCCCTGAATTTACCAGTAGACTTCCACACACAACCAGGCTGGGAGCTCATTATACTATAATGCTATGTTTAGAGGTCAGAGGGAAGGAAAATGATTAGCTTTCATGTGATCAAAACATCTATCCTTTTGAAAGAAAAACAAACAAGAGTTACCTATTAACCGACTCTAAATTAGCACTTACATAAAGTCTCACTTGTATTTTTTCCCAGAGGTGGCCATTCGGCATTTATGAAATTATGCCCGAAGGTAAATGAGGCCAGATGTTTTTCTCTTAGATTCACTCAACTACAGGCAGTAGGCCCTATACCCACAGGAATCAAATCCTCCCCGTAAAAGCTGCATGTAGGAAACACCTTGTGGGTTCTGTTAACTACCTTGACATTCAGGTTTTAAGGGATAACTACACCTGCCAACAGGTATAAGAATGTATAGGGCAACAAACACTGGAACGTTCTATAGGGATCCTTGTGCAAAGGGGATATAAATGTAAAAGGTACTATCTCCATATTACTGGGAATTAAAAAGGGGAGATCTGTTCTGTGGCCCTAGCAATACAGCAGTGACCTTACCTATAATGATTATTGATATAATTAAGTACCTACACACCCATATAAAAGCCAAAAATCTCGAAGGAATTCCCTGAGAATAAAGATCTCCAGCAGATAACATATCATAATGAAAACTGTAATCTAACATATAAAGGAGTGCGCATTAACAACTCTATCCCCATTTGAGCAAAAGACTGATAGAAAATTCTAGAAAATCCAGTTTGGAGTTTTTGCTTTAAAGCATGGAACAGATATGGCTGCATACTGGTGAGCTGAAGGGCTAGACAAACGTTTTTCATCTGGCTTAAGATGCATATGGTCAACACATTCCTTGTGGTATGAAAGTCTGCAGGCTTTCAAGACAAGTTTTCTTCACTTTTTCCCCTTTTCCTACATAAACGGGGAGAGCTCAATAGGGAGTCCCTCAGCTGTCAGGAGTTTCTTATGCTATAGGCAGAGAAGAGTGGAAACCGGTGGGAAATAGCCTGAGGGTCACACTCTGCTCTCAACGGAAGGGAGATGTAGACAGGAATCTTGGAGACAGACTGGGAAATATTACCCCTTAGTAGGGGTGCTCCTATCTACCAGCACTACTCTAGGCAAGCAAGAGAGAGAGAGAAGGAGAGAGAGATGGGGGAGGGAGGGAGAGAGGGAGAGGGGCAGGGAAAGAGGTGTGATTACAGTGTCTGCTTCCTCTTCTCAATGGTGTGTGGAAATCTGGCCATACCTTTTCAATGAAACACAGTTTGTCTGGACTTGGGAACTTGAACTCATTTAAACTGTCCAGGTGCCCTTTTTTTTATCTCTTCAACTATCTGGGAATTCAATTCCCTGTTAACAATGATTGTTCTACTCTTTCTGGTTAAGACACTTTTCTCCTCAATAGACAGATGGGAAAAAAAACACAATTATTTTATAAGGCAAAACTACAAACACAATTATCTTGAGATAGAATATTAAAAAATGTCCTCATAATAAAAATTCCTTATTGTTTACTGGTTTAAAAATATCAAAGCATAAATACTACAGTAGATGATTTTACAAGGCAATTTAATATACTAGAGAAGGAAAAAAAAGGACTTAACCTTGTTTGCCTTACTTACCTCTTAAACATATAATTATGCACTTAGTGTCTCACAATAAAAGGTAAAAGGTGACCTGGAATAAAACCATCTGTTTTGCTATAAAGAATTTATCAGTCAGGATAGGCAGGGATACAAAACAGTAAGCATCAACCTTGAAATCTCAGTGGATTCAAACAAACACTTACTTCTCATTCACATCTATATGTCCAAACAAGACCAAGCTGACTGAAATTCCATCTTGTCACCAGCTTCTGTGACCAACACAGCCGGGAAAGAAATAAGGTGAATCACACACTGGCCACAGGGAACAAGACAACTCCTGCTGTAATGCCTAACTTCAAGGGGTCAAAGAAGTGTTACTCTACCACCTAACCCTAAGGAGGGAACAAATCATGTGCCAGCCTACTGACTATAATAGAACATCTGGTTAACCATGCATTAAAGACAGACAAAAAAATTAACACCTTAGCAGAAGAGTCTTTTTTTCCTCTGTCAACTCTATCCAACACAATTAAAGATATATACACAAAGACACAGGGAAAATGTATGTCAGTGCTTAAAGCCCTACTCCATTTCTTCATCATTCATTTTTCTAAATGACACCTTTAATGTGCTTCAAGTTGCCTCTTTTCATAAAGCTGCCTACTCCCATCACCTACCACCAAAAGAATAAGAGATAACATTTTAATGAAAAGATGGAGTGGACAGACTAGACTAATTAAGAAAGGGCCTCATTCTCCAGTGCAACTTTTAAGAAATGAAAACTGTTTAACTTTCATGAATCTTGCATTTCCTACCATGAAGCTGAGCTCAGAAGTGAATTCTAGAAGAAAGAAAAAGAAGCAGAGTCATTAGAAGATTAAAAGGAAATGCAATATCTGTATTTGCTCATTGATTTTTTTCCTACTGATAGTCCATCTCCATTCCTATTTAGTTACTAGAACTTGGTTTGTGAAGATAACATCAGCTAAAAAATTGAAAAGACAGATACAAAAAAAATGGAGAAAGGACAGAAAGAGAGGTAACATTTTTTTTTACATTTAATAGTGTCCTTATTTCTTTTCTTCATTTCCTCATTAAAAACTCTGGCGGGCTAAGTGTAGTTTTTTCTTCATACACAGCAGCATTGCTGCCTAGAGCAAACCAGGAATAACATCAACTCTAAGTACTATCACCATCGCCCAGACTGAACGGTATGGTTCAGTTTCCAAAAGGCTTAAAGAGAAAAAAAGAGGGATAAGGAGAAGAAGAAATTTTCTAAAGCACTATCTTTATTTCATTTAAGCTCAAGAAGAAAAGAAATCCCATTAGATGAATGAACACAAAGTGAAAGAAATAAGACTGTAATGTCCGTAGAATTCCACACGTAATAAGGAGCCACTCTCTTATGCTGATTTTATCAAAATATTCAGAGAAATGAGTGCAGATTTGCACTATGCATGAGAAAAGTTTGCTCTCTTTTGCTAAACTAACATCTTCTGCAGATCACAATCCTGTGGAGAAAACTTGGCATTTAGATTAGTGAATAAAAATATTTACTTGCATCCAGAAAGTATGTGGAAACTTCATTCATAATTATATAGTTTGTGAATTCAGATCCTAAATTGTGTTAAACTATGTTATACATTTTACATATAAATTATTTATATATAACTCGAAAGAAAGTGGCCTGGCCCTGGCCGGGTAGCTCAGTTGGTTAAAATGTTGCCCCAATACACCATGGTTGTGGGTTCCATCGCCAGTTAGGCCACATACAAGATGCGACCAGTGAATGCATAAATAAGCAGAACAACAGACATCTTTTTCTGTCTCTGTGTCTATCTCTGTCTCTCTCCCCAACCTTCTCCTTCTCCCCTCTTCTTCTCCCTCCCTCCCTCTCTCAAATCAATATATCAATTTTTTTAAGGAAAGCAACTGATCTGTGAGGGAGAGTAGAACAGAAACCATCCATTGTAACTTCTAGCCCCTAAGTCAGAAAAGTTTCAGAGAAAACAGACCAAAGAAATCTTTAGAAGTTTTGCAATGGCTGCCTTGCCTTGAACACTTTAAAAATGTAAAATGAATACCATAAAAATAATACCAGAAAGAATGTATGAGAAATTATCTTCATCAATACACTTCAGATCTAGAGTTCTAAAGCTGGGCAGACATGGATTTCAACTGCTCCACTACTTACTAGCTCAGCAAGTTAATTTACCTTCTCTGCAGTAAAATCAATGGCATTTATAATTTGTTTTCCCAGAATATTTTCTATCTGCCTCCTATTGATGTTTCTGTGTAATTTTCCTTTGCTCCCTGTAATTCCTGTGTAGCAATCAATCACGTTACCTGATCCTGGCCATTGCTGTTAGTGAGGAATGGGTGTATCAGCCAACTAGGACACAGTGAAAACTATCCTAGGATTGGCATTAAATGATAATAATAATGAAAAGAAGGAGAGGGATGAGGAGGAATGATGGTAGGTAGGTAGGAAGGTAGGTAAGTAGGTAGACACAGAGACAGACTGAGACTCTTAGATCGGCATGCTAAGCTTGGAGGATGCACGTCTGGGATGTTAGCGACCATTGTAAGTTGTGCGAGACTTGGATTGAACCTGCCTGCAGCATGAAGACAAGGAAAAGAGACAGAAAAAGATGGAGAGAAAAAAATACCTTCATGACAGTATCTAAATCTCTATATCCACTCACAACTGAAGTATATGCCTTGGTTTTTCAGTTAAGTGAGCCTTCTTGCTTAAACTGTCTTTAGTTAAATTTATTTCAGTTGCAACTGAGAGACACTAAACTAACAGAAACTCTAAATCTCAATTTCTTCATTGAAAAAAATGGGTAATATTATCTGTCTCCTAGATTTGCTTTTAGGATTTTAGTGCAGTGTCAGGCATATAAGTACTCAAAAAGTATAAGCTGTTATCCATTATTATTAATTCGTGTTACTTCAGTAATAGTAATATTTCGTGATAATTGATATACTAAGACTATACTATCACTATATCAGAATATTACATTCTCAAAAGGAGGCTATGATACCAAGCATATAAATATTTTTCTCATATTTATAAAGGAGATTATTTAGCTTGCAAACATTTCCATTCTGTGTTGCAATCAATGAAACAGATAATTCTTCTCTTGGTTTGGATGTGATGGCAAGTCTTTAGAGATCACCATTATACATTATTAAAATCAAACACAGAAGATTACTTTTAGGTTATTAAATTTCTACTACACTATACAACTTTGAATTTACAGAGAAGTATCTGTATTTTTTTTACATTAATTTCCCAAAGGTCAAGGTCCATATCTTATTTCACTTACACGTCTGCTAACATAATAGCAGAAATTGAATACTTTTCAGTGCCATTAAGCATGATGACTACTAAATGATTATCCTAAAGAATTAAAAGATACTAGTGGGCTGAAAGTAGACACACTTGCAAAATCCATCAGTTGTCCAATTGATTCCTAGGAAATTGAATTCCTTCTCCAGATTGTACAGTGACAGTTCAGCAACAACACAGAAATAAATTAACACATGATTTTTGTAGTTCTACTGATATTTTGAAAACTTTTAAAGACTTGGTTCTAACAGCTCCCCTGAAAAATCTTCTTTGACTCACTCACTTTATTCAACTATAATCAGTACTAATTTAACATGAGGTAGTGCATTAGCCTCTCAGGAAATGATTATAAACAAGTAAACAACTAATTACATTGTCACAACTACAAGTGCTTTAGGAATGTATAAAAGCTTCTCTAAGAAAGATGAAACCTGAAGAAAGTGTAGGAATTTACCAGATAAAAAGAAGGGAAAGGCTAGAAAGGGAGGGCTTTATGAAGACAGGGAACAACCTGTACAAAGTCAAAGCAAAATGTGAGACAGTATGATAAATTCACAGATCTAACAGAACTTTTTACATGACTGGTGTTTAGAATGCCAATGGCAAAAGAGTCAAGCAATGAAACTGGGGAAGTGTGCAAAAGACAAACCTAAAGGATTCTGAAATATGTGTAACTATACTCTCAGAATAATGAGAAGCTATTAAAACATTTTTGAAAAACAGATATTTTGTATATACTCCAGTAGGGACTCCAAATTCACACACTACCCTTCTCCACCCAAATCTGTAGCTCAGTAGTCTGACAGCTATAAATATTCTCAATGAAGATCCCCTGTCTTCTCTGGCTTCTGCATAGACTTAGCCAATGTGAGGTGCCAACTGGAGATCAGAGAGTGGAAGGAGGGATGGGTCAGAGTACTGATATCCATGCCTCCACCAAAGCACTGCTATGCTCTACTAACTACAGTTACAGTTTCTATCACACACCCTTTCCCTCCACTGAAAGTTTGCAACATTGCAGTAAGCCGCTCCTTGCTATTGCTATTTTTCTTAAATCATTAAAAAAATTTTCATTACAGTTGACATATATATTATATGTTTCAGGTATACACCCTAGTGATGAGATATTATATAACTTACTAAGAAATCATCCCAATGAATCCCATACTCATGTGACACCACACGCAGTTATTAAAATATTATTAACTATATTTCCTATGCTGTACTTTACATCCCAATGACTATTCTGTAACTACCAATTTGTACTTCTTAGTCCCTGTGCCTTTTTCCCCCATTGCCTCAACCCCCATCCCATCTGGCAACCATCAAAAATGTTCCATGTAGGACTTCCGCCAAGGTGGAGGCGTAGGTGGAAGCACTGTACCTTTTCACACAACCAAGTTTAAAAACAACAAAGTTTTAGCATCAAAAACACAGCCAAACCACAGAAAATTGAACTACACGGAAGTTTGACAACAACAAACCCTTCAGCCAAACCGGTAAGAGGGGCAGAGCCAGCAGCAGAGCGGGTCGGGCAGGAAAGATCCACTGGACCAACCTGGGCGCACAACCCAGGCGCACCGGAAGCCATAGGCGGATCCCAGGTGTGGAGAAGCGGACGGACCCACTGAGGGCTGACCACAGTCACACATTTGAGTACAGATAAACCGGTGAAGGAGCGAAGCAGTGAGATAGACCCCAGTGCAGGCCCCAGTGGCAGAAAGTGGCAGAGGGGACTGCCAGTGTCCCTCTCTGACCCCGCCCCCACATACAGCATCACAAACCAGCGACCTGGCTGGCCCCGCCCTAGCGAACACCTCCTCGTAGGTAACAGGCATGAACAGATCAAAACATGGCTCAAGAACAACTCAGAGCCCCAGAGCCAATAAATCTAAGCCATGAAGAAATAGCCAAACTTTCAGATGCACAGTTCAAAACACTGGTGATCAGGATCCTCACAGAACTGGTTGATTTTAGTCACAAACTAGAGGAACATAATGAAGGCTAAACTAATTGAAATGAAT